TTTATTGGCAACTTACATTATAAAACAACAACAAAGCATGGGCAATTATGGTGTAAATAACAATTATATAACCTATTATCACGGCGTAAACCCCAAAGACTTTTTCAAATTAAAACAAAATTTGTTGGATAAGTCCTTCATGTAATACCCAAATTCCCAAAAGTCAACTTGTAATTACTCAAAAGTTTTAAAATGGAACTGAAACCTGCTCAATTCTATTTCACATCTTAAGACACCTGATGTAGAGAACAAAAATCTTCCTATATGGAGCAACACTACATCTGGCTTATTTACATGCAGGTCAGGCTAGATTTTAAACAAACCAGGGCCACTACATTCCCTGCTACCAAAATCTGGCACAAGGGAAGACCTTCCAAAATCTCATTCTTTATGATGAGATCGCTGAGAAACAGACTCCCTGCATATGAAGCTCTTAGAAGATCTGACCATCTAGGTCCATCTACTGCATATCATCTAAAGCTGAGACCAATGATCACATTCAGCTCACCACAGAGTGCTCACCCTCACCCGAAAGGCAGAGGCTGTGGCAAAGGCTGTAGCGGCTGCGAATTTTCTAAGGTTCCAAAAAAAAAAAAAAAACGCTCACTCAGGTAAGTATTCTAGTGTAATACTCTAACATCATACCTGTGAAATGGTTGAAACCACCTGATGGACAAGTCAAGCTCAATACAGATGGGTGCAGCAAAGGCAACCTTGGCCCCGCAGGTGGTGGAGGATGCCAAAGGAATCAGAGTAGTGAGGTGATCAATGGCCTATTTTGAATTCTTTGGTGTTTGCTCAAATAACATGGCTAAAGCAAAAGCTAATTCGAAATAATATGGTGCATGGGAAAAGGCTACAAAAATATTATTCCCTTAATTCCAGCTTATGTTATCCTATTTACTTTTTGGTCGATTATAAGAAGAATGATCCTTCTAAATTTGAACAAAATTTAACTTAAACTTTTAATTCTACAGTCAATGCGAAGCTTTTATAACCACAATTAACATCTTTGCCCTAAGGCTAAATAGAAAAGCTTTCTAGTATTCACTTGTTTTGAATTCCAAATATTTTACGCACCAAGCTATTTTATTGACGATTTTCCTTAATGTCATTGCTTTGAATATAACACAATACGTTATCACCGAAGGATGTTCCGGCAGTAATGTCAAAAGCCAAATTGTACTTTCAATATTTTCATGGCCAAGGACATTCAGCTCAATTGGAGGGAGGACAGGAGCAAATGATAATGAAAAATTACTTGTACAACAGACGCATATTCACAAGGGAATAGATAAGATAAAGCTTGAAGTTTCGCTAATACTAGAGAGAGCCTACCTTAGACAACTAAACAGAGACCCAAAAAAAAGGAGAATAACCTAAACTAATATACATACGACCTTGTTGCTAATTCCCTCGATATTTCAAACTATAATGAGGAAGAACTAAAGACTCAGAGACCCGAGTCAACTAACTAAGTTTACAGTGTCCCAACTGGATCATACAATATAACCAGTTAGCACACACTACACGCCTAGGGACTAAGGATGCTTATGAAGACCCTTTTGTTGAGAAACATGAACACGGCAAAGTTCAGAAGGCGATTCCAATGAGTAGTTAATCCGATCACTAGCTTCCTCCAATAATAATGCCATCTACTTAATCAAATTCATTCATCTACGTCGTACTGAGCTACAGTGATGGTGAGCTTTGCTGTCATTCTGTATCCCTTCCACATAAATTGGCAGTCGAATGATCTCATAGATCTCATTCAACAACACTTCTTCAGTGATGTTGTCAGTAATACTTCTCAATCAAATTCATTCATCTACGTCGTACTGAGCTAGAGTGATGGTGAGCTTTGCTGTCATTCTGTATCCCTTCCACATAAATTGGCAGTCGAATGATTTCATAGATCTCATTCAACAACACTTCTTCAGTGATGTTGTCAGTAATACTTCTCAAAACCTGAATTTTGTCGTACAGGAACCGAAATTAGTCTACTACATTGCTAACTATCTAATATATGACAAAATATGGAAAAGGTTATGTTAAAGCACAAGTCTACGTATAAAATAAATCAACCCGTGAACTTAGTATTTGCCGNGTTCACGGGATACAAAATAAAGTGCAGGAGAACTGCTCAGATATGCGTCTACAAGGACAGCAGATTAGACATTTCGCTGGATGTTTATATCATCACTGCTAGTATCAGTAACTCCAACCAACAAGAACCAACTATTGGAAAGACCATTTTAAAGAGCAAGAGAAGAAACAAAGCTGTTGAATTCCTGTCAAAAGCCTGAGAGGTGCACATCCTATTCTGACAAGCATGATCATGTTAATCAGAAATTCACATAAAGACAAATGTGACACCCTAAATGTGGATTATCTGGTTCACAGTCACGTGCAACAAGGAATTCCCATATCTGTGCTTCCATGTACTTTTCCTGAAAATGTAAACAATCTTCTACTGGCACTTGATCCATTGAGAACCTTACTGTAAATTCCAAATAATCCCACTAACATATCCGACCTTTTCAACTTTAGCAACTGATTCAATTTCAAGTTGTGGATGATCCACGTTCTCACTACTAAGAACCAACTATAAAAGAACAAAAAAGTTAAAAAAACAAGATTATGTGTCTTGAACTTAGTGGAAGGTTGGATTAGAAGAGGATCAGTTGTCAAACAGCAATGCTGCCTTTAGTTTAGCCACAGCGTACCAACAGAAATTTTTATCCAAAATCTTACTACTACATAGCAACTCACAAGTATCAAAAAAGGAATCTTGGCAATAGAAACAGAGCAAGTCGTGAAATAGCCTCCACTAGATCACACATTGAATGCGGGTTACTCACTCAAATACGCGAACCACATCCGATTCCTCACAAAACAGCATCCACCTAGAAGTTTTACTAAGCAATCACATGCATCCAGGTCAGGTAAAATAAACAAGACAGAACTCTTTTTTTGGTTAAGTCAATAAAACTAAACAAGCATGGGATGCAGATGATATTCGCCTCCTATATTCCCAACCAAACCCCAGATTGAGGGAAACCTTCCCGCGTGATACCACGAGAGCATAACTAATACAACAGGGGATTTCTAACCTGGGAAAACAACTCTATTCCCTTCCATCAGTTTCTTCTTCCCTCGTTCATGTAGATAAAGCAATTCACGACTGTCGACCACCTGTTTTATCACACTAATATGAGAGAATAAAGCATGATTCGTTTAACAGCTGCCATTCCACATAAACAGTGGAAGACAAATGACATTTGACAGGTCAAGGGGTAACTACAAAGCAAAAATAAGAACCAAAACGGCAAAGAGGAAATGGAAACAGCTCTAGTCACTAAGAGAGCAGAGAACACTACCTCAAACAGGAAGTCAACCGAGTTCATCTCGGGGTATTTCCACTTCAACAGACCATCATGCGTGAGAGGAACATAAGGATCTAGCCAACCCTAAAAAGGAAAGAAAACAGTAGCTGTGTCAAGAACCTAAAATGATTAGATTTGTACGATTTATGTCTCTTGTTTCTGTTAGCGATAAACATGTCATCTGTCAATTAAATAAATGAGGATGTGCTAGCATCTCTAATACTTCTCTGCAACACAACATAAATGGAGAAAAAAAGTTGAAAACATCTTCCAAATAGAGTTCCCCAACAAAGCAACCAAGACATACATGCCATACAACTTGGAGACATCAGATATCTGAAGTGAAGTAAAAACTTAACTCCTCCGGGGAAATCCAATACAACAATGTAACAAGAGAATATTCAGTGCAATGACTAAAGATTTGTCACTCTTTAGAACCTGAAAAATAAGACCATCTGCTTCGTGTGAAAGCTCTGGAATAAGTTCTTTGAGTACTTTTCTGACAGTAGAGAGCAGCCAAAAATTCTTCCTCCTCATCTGGCAGACGTTGAGATTTCAGCAACCACATTAGCTCGAAATAATATGATAGTTGAAAAAGTGGCTTTTATGTACTATACTCCAAAGTCGACAAAACATACCCTGAAAGGCTCACACTCGTATCTATAGTAAGGGTTTCCACTCTGGCATATATGTTGGCGTTCATGATTCCTTGGCCCGATCACTTCTTTGTCAATCATTCTCCAGCGTTCACAAAAGGGTTGCTGTAAGAAATACCAAAACAGAGAATGAGCAACATCAATGGAAAGATGATATTTGCAGAAAAAAGCAGGCAATCAAGCCAAACAGAATGGGGTGAAGTGGGTAAAGCTTAACTAGAGTGAGAAAGATAATTGAAAAGACATTTCAGATACATAGGTTTCTTGATCTCCAAGACATTTATTTCATTTAGGAGTAAGGTCTGCGTACACACTACCCTCCCCAGACCCCACACATGGGATTATACTGGGTTGTTGTAGTATACGAAAATATAATCACACCCCACAACACACAGCTGATTAAGAGAACAAGATGATCGAAAGTACACGAAACATGCTCGTGCTTTGTTTGCTCCGTGAAGTAAATATAGCCAGGATAGACAGTACAAATATGAGTACTACGTGTACATACAGTTTTACTGATAAGCATTGGACTGATGCATATCTTTCTTCCGCCCGCTTCTATTAGGGTGTTGGAGCTCTAGTTGCAGTAAACACAAAATAACTTTTTAAATTTAGCAGAAGGAGAAATTGCCGTATGACGGAGGACCCGACTAGTTTGGGATCGATTGATTGATCACCGTCTTAGGTAACCACATGGCTGAGATGCACCTCAAATACCATAAAGAAACAAAAATTCACCAACTAATCAAGGCAGTAAATGCCTCATACTAGTTGGTGACACCATAGCCAGCTGGAGCTCTCCCACATGATGAAAACAATGTAAACAAGTTCTAAGCCATTCCCAAACCAAAAGCATATTAGCATTCATCCACTTTAAAAATTCTAATGAAGCTATGTGTCCCTGCAGCTCCATTTTCTACAGAGGGCAGTCCAATATCCATTTGAGTTTCGATGCTGAAAACAACAGATTTCTCACTAACAATAGTTTAAACAAATCACCATTACTATTATCCCATAAAGGAACTAAACACCAATTAGTAGAGATAACACGCAACTTTCAAGAAATCAAGAGGTACAATACCTCTGGGACAAAAGAAGTCAAAATATCCTAATCTTCTAAAATTCACAAAGCATAAATGACTTTCAACATGCCCCCAAGACTTGCGCAGCGTGTAATTTGTGGGTTAGGCACACGCCACTGGTTTGAACCCCGCCAATCAAAAGCCTGGTATTTAAGTGGAGATGGCTAGTGGTACGGGCGCATTAACTAACAAGTTCCGAACCGTGAGCCATTGGCCCTTTGGGATTTCTCAATTATCAAAATAAATACTAACATGACCTCAAGTAACATAAAAGAAAGTCATACACTTCTACCACGAAACAACATTTAGGGAGAGACAAAATGTTTTTGGAACGGACTAAAAAGGGAATAGCCCATTTTGTCAAGAAGAAAAGGAAAGTGGTAAAGCCAATACTGGTATAATTCCCGGTGATACAGAAACCAAAAGCCCCTGTAGGTAAAGCCAACATTAATTTTTCAAGAAGAAAAGGAAAGTGGTTTCCTGAGAAGAATCCAACCTCTACGATAGACACACCGTTGAGGGCCATCATATCATAAATTAGGTATCTTCTTTCTTGCTTTTGTGTGCCAGGCAAAGTATCAATTACCATCTCCCCATCAAGCAAAGTGAAGTGGTGGACCCTTTTGGCTACACCCTGGGAGAGAGAACGAGAATTTCATATGACAAATCATAAACAGAAAATATCAAACAGTGAGATATAAAAGGAGGAAAAAAAATCATAACATCCTAATAGCTGAGTGGCATACTTCATCAGTGTGTGTGCACGGAAATCTCATCTGAACCCTTCGGAAGTTGAAATGTCTATCAATTAAGAAACAACCACCCATCGTGATCAGCATCATATACCGTGTCCCATCAGCCTTCCAAGTGGCATAGTAGTAGCGCTGCCTTAACAATTGCAAGTTGTCCCTGCACATCATGACAAAGATTACCTTGTGATGAACTCTAATAGATGGGTCCTTGCTTTGTGTTGGATGCTACCAATCAATTGTTTTTTCAGAGAATATTAGCATCCATGTCCAAACCCATATGACGTTCAAATATGAAGACACATAACATTATCATCCGTGAGTAAAATTTGTACAAGACATCTAAAGAAAATACAACTACTCTAAACACATTAGATGGACAAGCTATCATGCAGAATAAAGAGAACCTCTTATTACTACCAAACAAAATGAGCAGAAAGAAGATGTACCCAAAGACCCCTATGAATTTATAGCATCAGATTTCAGGATGATGGAAAGGAATGTTAAGGCCAAGAAAATTCTTATTTGTGGCCTTGGTCCTGATGAATACAACAGGATGATATCCTGCTCAAATGCTAAAGAATTTGGGATGCTCTTCAGACGACTCATGAAGGGACAAATCAGGTGAAGAGGTCAAGAATTGAAATGCTAATGAGAAACTGAGTTATTCTCAATGAAAGGCTCAGAGCCTATTCGGGAGATGGTTACCAGATTCACCATTATCACAAATGAATTAAAGTCACTTGGGAAAGTGTTCACTTCTGAAGAACTGATTACAAAGTTTTAAGAATTCTTCCTGCTTCATGGGAAACAAAAGTCACAGCCATTCAGGAAGCCAAGGAGTTGGATAAAATTTCACTAGATGAGTTGATAGGAAACTTGAGAATCAATGGTGCACCAAAACATCCACAAGCACCTCATGGCACTGGAATTTGGAAGCATATTACAGGAGGTTGGAACAAATTTGAGGCAAATATCGGCTTCATCCTTGGAAATGAAAGGAAAATAAGGTTCTGGGAAGATGCATGGATGGGCCACACTCCTCTTAAAGATCAATTGTCTGATATCTACAGTATTTCTTCGTTGCACAATGGGGCAATTGCTGAATTTTATTCAACGCAAGGCTGGAATCTCTTTCCTAGAAGGAACTTAAATGATTGGGAAGTGGTAAGTTTATGTCTTTTGCTTCAGCTACTAGGCACCATAGCTTTGGACCACAATAAAATAGATTCTACCAGATGGAAGGGGCATTCCAAAGGTCTCTTTCCAGTCAAAAGTTGTTACAGTTTGCTGGAATCAAGTAACTACAGGGATTATTGGCCTTGGAAAAAAAATTAGTTTAGCAATGCTCCTTAGCAAGTCTCTTGCTTCTCTTGGATTGTGGCTAGGGAAGCTTTTTCACTTATTCCAACCTCCAAAAGAGGGGATTTCAGCTTTGCAGTAGGTTCCCAATGTGCGAAGAACACTACGAAGATGTTGGCCACCCCTTCTTGCATGTAGAGTTACTAGACAACTGTGGAACATGATTTTGGCAATACTTGGCATGTCGTGGACAATGCCAAAATCCATTTTGGAGCTATTGCAATGCTGTGGAACACAAGAGGGATTGCGCAAGAAATCACAAACGACTAGGAATACCATTCCTCAAGATTTGGTGGACTCTTTGGTTTGAAAGAAATAGCAGAATTTTTGAAGGCAACAGGAGAAACATACATAGCCTTAAACGAAGATGTATTTGTTTGCAAGCTTTTTGGTGCAGCCTGCTTATTGTACATGATGAAGTTGGATTTCAAGATACGATAGAGGAACTGCGCTTTTTGTAATGATGTCTTTTAGCACTGGCTTAGTGCAAGTATTCATAAAATCATTGATTACGCATCTAAAACAATCATTTATTTATTTTTGCACTCTAGAACTCATTCAATCTTAGATAAAAAATAAGGGTAGCCCAATGCACGAAGCATCCTGCGACATGTAGGATTGCAGAAGGGTCTGAATCCCGAAGGGGTGTGATCGTTTAAAAATAAATGAACAAAATTTATTAAGCTATTAAAATTGAAAAAAGAGCATGACAAGTTGTTTTAATGATGCCGATTAGCAACCTTTGTGAGAGTAAACTAACATGTAGACATTCAATTTTTACCCTCCCTTTTTCGCAAAAAGAAAAATCATTCCGGAGAACAGAAACCCAAATTCTGTAATCCAAAGATCCTTGTTTAAGGTCGCGTGGATTCTCGAGGTCTCTGGTTGAGCGGGTAGTTAAAAGTAAAATACATTTGTCGGAGAGATATGGTTTCATTTGCTTACTTGCGAATTCGATTTGCCAAATCCATGGGTTTGCTTTGTTAGCACTTAGCAGAATTAGTTTTGCATTCCGCTGGTTTACATTGAAGAGCAAAGATCTAGTTAATAGAAGTTTGGGGGGTGGGGGACAAGAACCTATGTTGAAAGAGACAAGGCTAACAAGGGAGCTACTGCATTCCACTTGTCAAGTTAAGTTAGTGTCATACAAATTTTGTTGGTTGTGTGAGTCAAAATAAAATTCTCTGCAAGTAACGGAATTCACACTTACAAATACAGTCTTCAGCTTGATATGCCAACTGGAAATTCTTAAGTATTAGGTACACCTCCTAAACTAAAAATCTACTTGAAGAGACGTAATGTTTGAGCATATACCATATTGGTCAGAAATATATGGCTATTGCTCGCATCCGCATGATGAAAGAGGTCCGAAATATTACTGCCACTATCCAAATGTTAAAGACAATCAACATGTTACATCACATAGCAAGATTTCTATCATCATTTCAGCACCATCCAGGAAATGTAGATAAATGTCATGTATCAGGAATGGATTTTATGTACAATATTCTCTCTTTTTTATAATAATTACTTTTTTGTAGTTCCTACTTTCTATTCAGATTTAGGTGGACCAAAGTGTGAGGATTTACTTGTTCTTTACAATCAATGGGTGAACAGAGGCTTCTTGTATGCATGGCTAAACACAAAATGCTAGACATAAGGTGACACATGACTATTAAAGCAAAAACATATAACAAAGTTACAGATTCCTGAATAATGACTCGAATCAAACCTGTTAAGAGAGACTGGATGTGAGCCAGGAAAATGCGTGCCTCTGCCCTGAAAGACAAATACAAAAGGACTTAAGAGTTAGAATAGAACAGAACAGAACAGAGATCACTACTTTGCAGAAATCACAACTGCACAACAGAAAGTGAGTCCATAGCAAGACCAAAAAATATAGAATGCGCATAAACAGAACTGTATACAGATTCCATCCAACTATAAAAGAAAGACACCAAATGAACCGACCACAAAATTCATACCCTTGGGGCCATTTTCAGTGCTTGATAACAGAACTGTCGCAAATCACCTTGCTGATCTTGTGGGACTGCATCACCCAGGATGTCATCATTTGACAATGATATTTGTGTTTCGCGATTATCCTGAAAAGGTAGAAAATGAGTTATGAGGAAATTCTAAAAGCTCTGTAAGGATAAACCTTACTGCAAGCCCGAAGTATAGATGCCAAAACTCCAACATGTTGGTACAGAGATGTAATCACGAGGAGCTATAATCGTGATATCAGCATTATCATGCTGAGATCTATACTCCTAGTTTGACCAGCATCGTTTGAATAGATTATTACATAAAGTTTTACTGAAAATTGTTTGTTTTAGACAAATTCGGCAAGTGCCAAGTGGAACAGCTAGCTGGTAAGATGTCAAATCAAGTTTTAAGTAATGTAAGTTTTATTATTTCATATTTTGAATTTTTGGACAGAGAAAGACTTTTCATTTAATGAAGGAGGCCATGTTTCCCGGGACAGAACAAAAGAAAAGCAAAATCTGGTTTCTCAGCATGGAGAGAGTAGTAGATTAGGCCAGATCAAGAAAGAACTAGTTGTTGTANTTCTTCTAAAAGAACAGCATGATTTCACATCCAGAATGCGGGGTGTAATTTATAATCAAGATTGATTATAGTTGCAGCATGCCAAAGACCTCCTCCTCACTTAAATACACTCCTCGCGATCCCCGCATTCATAATCAATCTTCATTATAAATTACACCCCGCATTCTGGATGTGAAATCATGTTGTTCTTTTAAAAGAACAACTAGTTCTTTCTTGATCTGGCCTAATCTACTACTCTCTCCATACTGAGAAACCAGATTTTGCTTTTCCTTTGTTCTGTTCCACAACAAAGCACCTACTTCTCTCCTGGCCCAGCCCACACCCTGTTCTCTACTCCACTAGGCCCACCTCTCTTGCTCAACTCTCTGGATCTCGCAGTCAAAGTTTGCCTTTTGGGAATCTAAACTTTTAAACAGCAAAAGGTGAATCAAATCGTACACCGAAAAATATATATAGTTGAATGTCTGCCCACACTCTTTCTTCTATGAATATGCTATCCTAAAAGTTGACCATTCTGCAACCATTTTGGTAGGAAGCACCAAAGATTAAAGCTTAAAAGAAGAGGCCAATGGTGATTGCATATAAACACCAAAATGTACTTTCCCCATAAAAGATTAGAGAAAAGGAAGGACTAACCTCGTTTATGTTTTAGAAGGTCAGCAAATATGACACTATTTGGATGTGCATTCTTCTAATTTCCCATCCGAAACACTCTTTACCAAGCTGAAAAGTTTTTCTAAGTTCTAAGCTATGTTTGGATCCTTCAAAATTCCGCCATATCAGACGGATCTTCCAAAGATGCATAACTTTTGGAGGACCCGACACACACCTAGCGGCATTTTGGAGGATCCGAGCAACATAGATTCTAAGCAAAGTTAGATCTCTTCTACCACTTTTGAGCACCTTGTCAAGCTTTTAAGAAAACTAGATATCTTCTAGAGCAAGTCTTCCTTTAAATAGGAGGACAATGAATAGGTAACAGCGTGCTTGTTCAAAAAAGAAAAGCTTGTTCAAAAATGAATAGGTAACAGCATGAAGGCACAAAAGCTGAAAATGCAAATACGAAATATAGCAATATACTGAGTTCTGAGGAACTATATGACAAATCCCTCTGACAAGAACCAACAATCCTCATCCTCATCCTTCCATTTTTTCTAGTAGAAAATATTTACATCACATTTAGGCACTCATGTTGGACAAGGAGGAGGAAATGGAAGGTGTGAAAAACAATTCTTACGCATTAACTTTTGTACTTATCTCAGACTTAATTAAATAGATAAAGCAGTATCGGAGATCATTTTTCTATTATCATTCCAGAATTGGAACGTGGGTGGAATAAAGAAAATTACATAGGAGTCAGATTCTGACCTAAAACTAGTTTGAGATTGAAGCATAGTTGATTGATTGATTGATCGTATCAAGATTCTAAGGAAAAGAAGTTGTCACTCTAAGAATACCATATCAATATTTGCTGGTTCAAATTTCACCGAGGCAAAAAGAAGCCATACTCAATATTAAGACCAGACATGGAAGGCATCTCAAGTTTGACGGAAGGAGATTCCTATAAGGTAGCTGAAATAGCCTTGACAAGCAATCAGGCTTAATGGCCAGACAATGCCTCTTAAGAAGCTTCGTGTCACAACTCGCACTTTGGAGTTGTGATTTTGGCCAAGAACTGGTGAGAAAAGGCTCTTCTGATTGTCTGACGTAGATCTGTCTACTCGGGCAACTTGGGCTTTTAAATTTTAAGCATATATAAGGGGTATAGGTGATGAAAGCTCCGACCTGCCTCCCCCATGTATAGAACGAGCTACCTTGGGGGCAACCTCAAAGGCCTGCCTAAATGACTCAAAGGAGTGTCAAAGGTATCCATACGAGTTTGGGAACTCTATGGACGGCGCGACACCTTCGGGCTAGCGTTGGGCATCAAAGTGGCGCTGGAGGTTCGATGCGTGGGACGGCCAGCCCCGCAGGTTGCCGAATGTTGGAAGGAGACCTCCGTGCCGATTGGATACTTGACGCACCTGTCATAGGGTCATCATGTGTCGACTTGCGAGCATGGCTTAGGTTCAACCATGCAAACAAGGGTCCGTTGGCCTAAAGGTGCAGTTGTGGGGCGACACTGCACTATTCGGGATGAAAGTGTGTCGCGAGGGCAATGTATGGGCATGGCACGAAAGACGCGCATGACAATGGCCAAGGGCTAAAGGTTGCCTTACTCGGGCGAGGCACGAGCTAGTTGCGGATGCACTAGGCGTGTCAAGCTTGAGGATTGGGCTGTGCACGCGAGAGCGATGCTCAGTCTTGGGCGAGGGACAAGACATGTCCTAAGCCAATCCCCCAGGGCGCGCATGGATTGTGATCCTAAGATGAAGCGCCACGACATGTCTAGGGCCAAGTGCCTAGACATCTTACGGGCGGCACAAGTTGGGGCGAGCCTCATGGGCGAGTCCCACCAACAGGCACATGATCGTGCTTGGAATCCTGGGAAAGGAAACAGGGCTGGCCTGCAGCGAGGGGAACTGCAGGCGCTACACGGGCGAGCAGGTGCCGCTACCCAATGTAAGGAAATGGGCCCGTGACACTTGGTATCAGAGTTGATTAAGGCCATACTATGCCATGGCACAAGGTCAAGGTAAGGGTGGATATGGCGAGTGCATTTTGGATGTCAGTGCGGAGATCATGTCAAAGCAGAGATTGATGTTCATATGCCACCAGAGATCGAGAACCCGATACTGATGGTCGAAGAAAGAAATGGGTGATTCCATTGTCTTTCGAGAGTCTAAGGTGCTACTGAATGAGGTGATATGCCGATGAGTCGGATGGTCAAGAAAAGGCCATGTTTGCCAGGTCGTGCAACCATATTGCGAAGAGTGGGAGCCATGGACTATAAATGTTCGGCATGATCATAGCGGAGATCTTGCCAAAGATGCGTGCGACGCATCAGTTGAGTGTTTTTCCTACGGGTTAGACTTTTGGACTGCCTGAGGGCATTGCCAAGGTGAGGAGACGGATTCGAGGGTATAGCGAAGCTTCGGAATTGGGCGAATTTCTAAGTTAGAAGGTGTCATTCTGGAAAGAAGTACGTCGAATGATCGGAGGACCGTTGAGAGTCCAAGTGCGAGGCACAACCGAACCGGGAAGCAGTGCTAGCAGGACCAAGAGGGTACCTGTCTATAGGGCGAGTATTGAAGTACTACCGGGAGCATTGGCTACTTGCTGAGAAAGTGACAGTTGGAAAACAAAGAACTTTGTTCGGGAATGCAGCGATGCTATGACTTTGGGAATGTAGTACTCACCAAAGGTCGTCCCAAGAGCTGGACGAATGCCAAGTGGGACGACAGTGCTAAAATGTATCCTCTACATTGAGTGTGGGAGGATCCCGCTATGCAAGAGGCATATGGGCGAAGTTGTGAGTCCGGAAGCCAACACATCTTCAAGGTAGTGAAGGCAAGGAAAAGCTACGGGAGCGGAAGGCTACGGGAGCTATCCCAGAGGCGTTTGAAGGCTATGTGAGCGATTAAGCTACTAGAGCCGCGCCAAAGACCACATTGATGTGCTAACCTGTGAAAGGAAAGCTTCAGACGGACATGAAGGCTGTGAGGGTCATGGTGTAGTTGACTAGTGTGGGTCAACTACAAAGTGAAACACCAGAGGGTGCAAGTGCGGAGGCACTTTCCAAGTGAACACCGAAAGGAGGTGAAGTGCAGAGGCACGCTTGGAAGATTCTTGGGGGAGAAGTGCATGGGAGCTGAAATGGGAGCTGAAATGGGCATACCTGATGGAGCAGACTCCGGGATGTCTTAGGCCATGATGTGTCATCGGGGACGATGACATTATGAGTGTGGGAGGATGTCACAACTCGCACTTTGGAGTTGTGATTTCGGCCAAGAGCTGGTGAGAAAAGGCTCTTCTGATTGTCTGACGTAGATCTGTCTACTCGGGCAACTTGGGCTTTTTAATTTTAAGCATATATTAGGGGGTATAGGTGATGAAAGCTCCGACCTGNTGTCAAGCTTGAGGATTGGGCTGTGCACGCGAGAGCGATGCTCAGTCTTGGGCGAGGGACACATGTCCTAAGCCAACCCCCAGGGCGCGCATGGATTGTGATCCTAAGATGAAGCGCCACGACATGTCTAGGGCCAAGTGCCTAGACATCTTACGGGGGCACAAGTTGGGGCGAACCTCATGGGCGAGTCCCACCAACAGGCACAGGATCGTGCTTGGAATCCTGGGAAAGGAAACAGGCTGGCCTGCAGCGAGGGGAACTGCAGGCGCCACACGGGCGAGCAAGTGCCGCTACCCAATGTAAGGAAATGGGCCCGTGACAAAAAGAAGCCATTCTCAATATTAAGATATTAAGACCAGACATGGAAGGCATCTCAAGTTTGACGGAAGGAGACTCCTATAAGGTAGCTGAAATAGCCTTGACAAGCAATCAGGCTTAATGGCCAGACGATGCCTCTTAAGAAGCTTCGGCAGTCATTGCATCCCAAGTATTGCAAGGTCATAACTCAAGAGTCTCTCATTTACAAGTTATGTTGGCAAAAAGACTCGGGAATGTCAGAAAAATTCGTGGTTTTCAAAATCAAGCTTAATAATGCACTCAAAATCAGAATTCATAGCTTTCTCACCATAAAAGTATCAGAAAGGGATGGGTTTCACATTCTAATGTTGAGAGCCACTGGAATGGTAGCAGTAGCTCAGTGTTCACATTCAAATTAAAACAGTCCTGGTGGAAACCGAAGATTAAGATTTCAACAGAGAGGGAATTAACCAAACACTTCACCCATGAATTAAGTGCCAAGAATCAAGGGGAACGTTTTCTTCAGAAACACATACAGGCAACGGAAGCGCAGGACCTCCATCATCATCGATATCCGGCATAGCATCGCCATTCAAATCAAGATCAGAAGACCTTTTCCACTCAGGTGTTACAGGGCAAACAACCATTTCAGGTTTTTCCTCATGATAAAAGGCATATAAAGCATCAATATAGTCTGGCTTATAGATCCCAGGAGGGCGAGCATCAGTAAAAATTTTGATTGCCTGCATAAAAATACTCTCATTATTCAGAGATGTAGTGCAAATAGAGGAATAGCAGAATTCCCTACCTGAGTGACAGATATCGGCAGCGTACGCATAAGAAAATGAATAATCATGAACCCAGTGCGATTAAACCCATGTGTGCAATGCACAAGAATATACTTCTTCACATCTTTCTGACGGACAAGGAATTGTGAAACCTGATAGAATATAAATGTTAGTATCTGATTCCTCTCAGTAGCAAATAGCATTCAGTGAGGATGTGAAATAGTTACCTCTCTTCACTTAAGCAGAATAATACTCAGATGACTGTGTGCTTCTCATCTATGCAGAGATTCCTAATGGTTATAAAACCTAACTAGAAGTTAACAGAACACCTTTCCTATATTCTAATAGTATGCTTTTTTAATCTGAGACAAATTCTGACTAAATATAGTTTTCATTGCAAAGACAGTATTCCCGCAGCTTATGCACTAAATACCCAAAAGGCTCTTATCTCAACTCTCAAGGATGTTCAAGTTCTTCAAACTTTGATTATTCTCCCTTTCTTCTTTTCCTTTTTCGGGGGATGGTTGAGACAGAAGCGTGCGAATTGGGATAACCCAAGGAGGACATGCAGGCATCAAACAATGCTCTTTTTCCTATTAATAATAAGAGTATAGCCATTGTGCACTAAGCTCTCGCTATATACAGGTCCAGGAAATGGCCGAACCACATTCAGTCAACAATGTGCAGCATTACCTTGCATTTCTGCAAGATTTGTTTCCACGGCTTGAACACGTGAGGTCACACTGACAGAGCAACAACTCTTACCATTTCCCAAGGCTTCCCTTTCAAAGAATAGAGTACATCTATAATGTAACATAGACATTTAAATGACATCTACCTTACCTTTCTCAAAACAGCTCTCTTTTCTATTCTCGAAAAAATTACAAACCAACTACGCATGTGCTCTTGATTAACAAACAACAGATATTAATAATTGCACCAAGTGTAACATGTCACAATAAATATGTAACAGAGAGAGCAAGAGCCAATCTAACGAGGGATGATAAAGGTATATAATTACTTCTACATGTTAGGTAAAGCAAGCAAGCTCTTCCCCACACAAAAATTCAAGTAAAACTGCAACTAAAAATATATACAATTACCTCATAGACAAATAAATGGCAAGACTCATTGTCAGGTACAGCATCACGGCCTTTGCATGGAATCTAATACACATGAAGAGTTTAAAAATCAGAACAACCATAATTCAAGGAGAAATAATACTCCCCCACTACCTTCGCTTCCATGACGTTATTACCATGTACCAACCTTTACATGCTTGATGCCTTCTTTCCTCCAATCTGACGATGAATAGTATCGAGTTGTATTTGTGAGATCAATCACCATACCAAGCTGAAAATTTTAACATGGAAAGAGTCGGTTGTAGCTTATGCAGATGCTATGACGTCAAGGTAACCAAAAACAACTAAGGAATCAAAAAATTGAAAAGGCATCTAGTGATTCTATCATACTAAGTGGCAATACAAAAGAGAATTAAGCCTCTTGTTAGATATAAAACATCTCCAGGTCATTATATTTTATCAAAGATATAAAACATCTCTAAGACAACAACTAATAAGCAGCAGATTGTTTTCAAATTAACTGCACTGCCAACAATGTAACAAGAAATGCCTCAAACAGCAATACAATTTCTCCTCATAAAAACTTCTAGGACTCTGACATTTTCAAGATAAAATCCACACCAAGGGGATGAACAAGGACCATATTCAGGTTAACACGTTCACCTTTCTTCCCAAAACTTTCTGTTGGTGGAGGACTTGCCTCAACGAGTATCTTTTGCCAGGAAGAACACAGTCGTTGAAAGTTTCATCGAGAGGAACCTTTGAAGGAATAATGCGACCTATCTCCCGCCCAAATGCAGGACAATCCAACCAACCTGCATGCGCAATCCGCAAGATAAATGATGTAATATAACTAAGGGAAGTCAAGAAGGAGGAAACGGCGAGAGAAACAAGAACCTATGTTGAAATAAATAGCAACCTAAAGATACATAGATGACAAAAAAAAAAAGGACTATACAGAGGGAAGGAGGAATCAACTGCTACTTCTACAAGTCATCCACAGACACAGAGAAAGAGATAGAGACATAGTGAGATAGAGAGAGAAAGAGAGTAAACATGCATGGCAGTTCTTATACAACTAGTACTCTAGGGAAAAATCCAGTAACCTGGAGGAAGTCTGCTGCTAGGCTTCTGTGTCTTTGTCAGATAAATCTCATCACGCATTCGTGGCTGAGATGGATATGTTGGCCTATCATCTGGACGATGTCTTTTAAGTCTTTGAATCCTTTCCTCCCGCTCCTAACACAAATAGCATTTAGAAAGAGGGCATGGAAACTACAAAAACAAAAATCAAGTCTCCACAATATTAAGATTCACAAGAACATACCCCTATCTATGGATACTTACTCCCTTGTCGCCTATCCCTTCCCACTACCACAGAAAGAAGCAAATCCTATTTCTTCAATTCCCAACCCCCACCGCCAACGAGATTGGTGGGAGGAGGTACAGCGTGTTGGCACTAAAAAAGCTCCCATTAGATCAGTCAGATAGCTGACTTGAAAATGACCAGATTACCAACAAAATGCTGAATTTCCCGTTTAATCAAAGGATAATCTACTCAACAACCTAAATGACTTCCCCCTTCCATACTTTTTGCTGAACCTCAAACTGCTTGCTTGGCTAACCAGGGGGTAAAAAAGGAAAGCAATTACCAAAAGAATCTAAAATAAGCTAATTCGCGCTCTTCAAACATGCCATACCTAAGGCCCCATCCAAGAATCTTGAGCCAACACATAAGAGATCAGATTAAAAGTTCTGCACTTGTGAACTGACGTAGCCTCAACACCGGGGAACCAGTAAGACCTCAGCAGCTTCAGGTGAAAAATCAGTGTAGACAACTCAAGCTCCTGGATTGTGCAAAGCTTAAGTGTGGTTTGGTTTGGAGACAAGTTATGCGGGGAAAAGTAATGTTGGGATAGGTAATGCATGGATTGTTTATGTGGTGAATAGTAATGCAGGGATTGTTATGTGGTGAATAAAATCGAAAGAATTATTGTGCAGTGATGAATAATAATGAAGAGATTATTGTTATACAGGAACTACCTACTTTAAGGGTACTTTTGTCTTTAAATGGTCTAATCCACGCATTGCTCATACAAGAATTCTTATTCCACATTCTACTCCGCATAGAATAATACATAGATTTTCGCATAACTTATGCGAGTATTACAGTGTTGTTAAAAGTGAAAAGCGTCAGAAAAGGCTCCAGTTCTATCAGGGCTTTAATGACAAAGCACAATTGAAGTGTGAGCTTCAGTTAAAAAGGCACAACAAAGGAAAAAAATACACATGTAATGCAAGAAGAAAAAAAAATACTTCATCCGTAATGATTTCCTTAACAATTAACATATCCTTTTGTCAATTAGTTTAACTGTATGGAACAGCTCTATTCAAGATAGAATTATGAGCAATGAGGCGCACAACTTGGTGCTTTTGCCTACATTGGGGCATAGCCTAATGAGGCAAAGCGCTTACCTTAAGATTCTCCGAGCTTCAAAGCTTAAGTGCACCTCAAATGAGCCTTTGACAATATAGAAGTATTATTTACAAGATGATACAAAATTGCAACCAACCAATGTATAAATTATGCTAAATTTAATGAAGAGATTAATTCTCCTCATTCAAGCAACCAAAGAAGGTACTGTTATGCTGAATTTGGTGAAGAGATTAATTCTCCAATTCAAGCAACCAAATGTGGCTCTAAGGGTTTAAGGAAAATCCAACACTTAGACATGTTCAAACAAGGAAAATTCAACACTTGAGATGCTTTCTCAAGTAAATTTCCATCTGTTTGAAAACATGCCTAAAAATAGTAGTCTCCAAACTTGCCTGAAAGAAAGTTTTAGAAAGCTTTAAACTGGTTATTGCTCTGCTGAAGACAAGAAGAAAAGAAACATCAACAAAAAAGAGACAAGTATCAAACAAAGAGCAAAAAAAAAAAAAACAATAAAGAACCAAGTTCAAGTAACAGTACAGCTCAATAGTGATATAGCAAGTAGTAGAGACAGAGACGTACCCGGCGTGAAATCTCCACGGCACTCGCAACATAATCTGCATGTTCATGGCTATGTTTCACAATGAATTCTTCTGGTTCATCTTCTAATTGTTGTCCAAAAATCTCTTCGTCATCCTCTGGATGAGGCAAGGCATTCAGATCCATGCTGACAATTCAAGGCTCACCACAAAGCATATGTCAGGGTGCCTATAAGCATCTATTAGGACCACAAGGAAGCCATCACAATTATGTTCCTACAACAAATAAGACGTAAATCGAAATATCCAACAACATGGCCAAAAGAAAAGCTGATACTCTTAAGCGATAACCGGGAGGGCTGAATTTATTCAAGTTTCCATAGCATCATTCAAGTATTAAAAGTTAATGAAAGCAAACAAGCATCATAAATTCGGATACCAGAAAGAAATACATCAATGTATTGGGTACAAAAGGAAACGATACTGCAGTAGAGATGACATGAAACAGAATAACAATTGAATCAGAGTCAAAGAATACAACCAAAACGATACTGGAGTCGAGATGATACGAAACATATAACAATTGAGTCGCGTCAAAGAATACAACCCTTTTTAGTGCTAGAGAACTAGAGAGAAAAGAAACATATCAACCCAAAAAGGAACAAAAAAGTCATAGTGCTTTCCTACAATGCCATTATTTCGTTTTCATTTGGGGTCTTCGATACACAACATGGTCACTTTTGAAGGAAAGAGGTTGTTTATGAATGACAGTAGATGTGAAGTGAGAAGGCAAATAAAGGTAATATTTTTATTTCGAGTCACCCCAAGAGCAAGGTGGGGAGTTCTTGGAGGGAGAGAGCCGAGGGTCTATCGGA